AAGAAAATCCATGGGCAAGTTATTATCAACATTCCCATTTTATAGATGAGGAAACTGAGGCACAGAGGCATTAATAAAGTTGCTAGAAAGTGAGAGATTGATTTTTGCTAAGTGTATTTATCTACAGTTAGTAAACTTTGTGTGAAGGGGCTTTGTGTGTTTAGATTCAATGGGGGAAACCCTCCACTTTATTCTTTATATTAAAAGAAACTCTAAGTTCTTGAATTTTCTGAAATCAAAATTTGCCATATTCTGTTTCATTTCTTCACCGTATTGTGAGGCATTTACACTTTCTTTGTGAAGAAGGCAAAATGAACACATTCTACTCCTCTCATTCTATCACTTCCAGCACTTTCTCGCTCCCCTGTAATAACAGCCCCAGAAAGCAGGGCAATTTGGATTCATAAAAAGGAGGCACAAGAAAGCACTGAAATCAATGTCACTCAATTTTGGTGCAGACAGCAAAGTGACGTAGGCCCTTTGCCCTCTTGAATAGTTTCCTCCCTAAACTTTTGATCAGAGAACTGGGCTCAATATTCTCTCTCCCCTAATTCTATATTAATATCCATTCTGGTCAACTTTCTACATGTGGGCTATAGATAGTATGTCATGCCAAGGAGAATTATGGACTGAAATTATTTCATCTATAGAGTTTGGACACTACCTACATACCCTGAAGGTGGTAGGAATCGTTTCCAATTTCATAGCAGAGGAAAAGGAACATCAATGTCATTAACTAATGATACTGGTTTTGAGAGCTGGAAATCCCTACTCCCCTACTCATTTAATGCAGCAGCCCATTTGACCCCAGGCACAATGTATTCCTGTGAGTTTCTACTGCCTCTTCCAGAAAGTGCTGACTGTGGAGAAACTTGATCAAAACATCAAAGATTACCAGAGAAGCTGCATCTGTGCCCTTCGCAACCATTGATGAAGTACCTTAACCTCGCCTTCTCTCGATGCCTTACATATGGTCATCTGTCTTCCTGACTACTACTTCATATGGCTTATTTGTAAATTCAAGCAAATGTGCTTCTGACTGGCACTGATACATCACTGATGCCAAAATATCAGAGAGGATGAAGCACAAGGACATATTTTTTGATTCACATGGAAAATATTACAGATTTATGGGGAAGTGATGACAATAGCCATTCCATGATATCTTCATATAATCAGTATCCTTCCATGCCTCCCTTCACCAGATTTTATGACCTCAAAACTTATTTAAAAGAATTACTCTCCTGCTGACCTGAAAGACATAGTGGGGAGGTGTGGGGATGGGGCTGGGTGCCTGAACCACCTAGCTCTGACTTTTCATGTGCTGAATTTCCACAGTGTTCCAATGACCACTTACAGAGCCATAATGCACAGAACGTCTACTGATGTCCCATTGATATCGATGTGATTTCCCCCAGTGGATTGAGGCCAGCACAGCATACAGCCATTAGTATCTAAAGGTTATGTATAATGGATAATAGAGGAAAATGAAATAGCAGAAAGGAATTTGCACGGGAAACAGAAGCAGTAAATAGTTTCAGTGTAAGATTTTACTTGGGTAATACAGCAACTGCAAAGGGGGGATTGAAAAAAAAATGATGACTCTGACAGACTCAGCAAGAGCTGAGAGTGAAATAGTTTCATATTTGGAAATGTAATACTTTTTTACTTTGACTACAGAAAGCCATTTAAAAATCATCTTGTATGTTACAGTTCTTAAGTGACATCATTCACCTGCCTGCTTGCTGAGGAATCCTTACCCTATCCTCCTGAGGTGGCTTGCAATATGGCAAAGACGGGGTAAATCGAGGAAGAGACTTTAATTGCCCTATCCAAAGTCAAATAATGTCCAGTTCATGATAGAAAAAAAAAGTTATGGTATTTGCCGTTAACATCTCATTTCGAACCAATTCAACCCACTGTGCTAGCACTTAGCCTGATAGTTCTACATCTAAAATAGCTCACAATAAATGATTTGAACAGATATCTTTCGCCAATCAACAAAGCTTAGCTGCACACACCGTTGCAATGGATGACCAGGTAAATGTAGTTTAATTTGTAATTTAATAACGACAAAATTGGTGGATCTGTTTACTAGACCAAGAAGTCAGTGAGCTACAGAGTTTGCTGCAGTGCTGGAGGGGCAGCAAAGCCTAGTGCCAAAGAGGACTATGTGCTCTGAAGTCAGTCCACTCTGGCTTAAAGCTCAGGATCCCCACTTTCTAGTGAGGTGACCTCTTAATCTCATTATGACCTCTACATGACCTCTTATCTTTGCTGTGCCTCAGTATGCTCACTTCTAAACTATATATAATACCGATACGTGCCCTTAAGGATTGTTGTGAGAATTAAATGAGCTAATACAAGTAAAATGCTTAGCATCAATCATTTTTGTCGACAAATTTTATTGATAGGATTGCTTTGTGCCAGGCACTGATCTCGATGCTGGGATACAGCCACAAACATGGTTAACTCTGAGAGCCACTGAATTTTCATAGAGAATAACAGGGGTGCCTGGGTGGCTCAGTCGGTTAAGTGTCCAACTCTTGGTTTCAGCTCGGGTCATGATCTCGCAGTTCGTGAGATCAAGCCCTGCATAAGGCTCTGTGTTGACTGTGCACAGCCTGCTTGGGATATTCTCTCTCTCTCTCTCTCTCTCTCTCTCTCTCTCTCAAAATAAATAAATAAACACTTTTTAAAAAATAGTGAACAACAGTTATAAAGAGAATGATGATAACAACAACAACAACAATAATATTTAACATTTGTTGTATACTTACTATGTTTTGGGTACTATTTCAACTTCTTCTGTTACATTAACTCATTTAATTCTCATAAAAACTCTATGTTATAGGCACTATTTTAGGCCCATTTATCAGATAAGGAAATGGAGGCCATAAAATGTTAAATAATTTGCCCAAGGTAACACGCCTAATAAGGGGCAGAGGTCTCCAAATCCATGTTCATAATGACTGCACTATATTGCCTTAATGTCATGTCGATATCATATGACATTGTTCACCCTATAAAAAAGGCAGACTTTGCAATGACTGAAATGTTCTATTTTCACTTATGAAATAAATAAATATATAAGCTAATTAAACAAGTCTCAAAGTATATAATAGAATTTTTGATACAAGGCCATCATAATAAATTTAAATGGAAACATAGGTTTGAACACCATATAAACCTATTAATCAAAAGCTTGCTATTATCTGGATTTGTTTATAGCGGGGTTATTAAGTCTTAGATCTAAAACATTATCTCTCTATACAGTAAAAGTTAATAGAAGATAATCCATAAGGTAAGAGTCTGTCTCATAATTGAACAAGAACATTTAAAAAGGCCTCTAATGAATTTAGACTTCTCAAATCACTCCTTGTTTTGAGTGATTCCATATTAAAATCATGTTTGTATTACAGTACTTTGTCATCCCCTAGCTTCATTCCTTCAGCATTATTCCTCATTACAGATTATTACAAACCAAATAAATATACATGTTGGGTTATCCTAAAATGTGATAAAAGACACAATTTTGATATTATAGGTAATATTATCCATATTCAATAGAAGCACCATTCAAATATATTCAAATTGTATGATAAAAATATAAAAGAGATAATCATGAACATGAATATACGCTATGTTCCTATACTGTTGACATTATCAGTGACTTCCCTACAAAATAAATCTATTTACTTAGCATCCCCTGTTCTATGACTCCTATAAAATCGGTTCTGTGAACTTTCTTATTGTTCACATTTTGAATAAATCTGAATAAACCAAACTCCCCTTATTGTTTATAATTTCAAGAAAGTCCAAATCTGTTTTAATCTACTTCTCAGAATTCTGCTTCAGTTAGGAAACCAGGTTAAACCTGCAAAGAAGTTACTAGTGCCATACCTGGGTAGAATCTTTCTCTACCATGATATTCTATTCGTTCTAGGAATAGGGCTTCCACAAAGTACATGTTTCTTAAGTTAATTTGCATTAAAAAAATTTTTTTAATGCTTTTATTTTTGAGACAGAGAGAGACAGAGCATGAGCAGGGGAGGGGCAGAGAAAGAGAGAGAGAGAAAGACACAGACTCTGAAGCAGGCTCCAGGCTCTGAGCTGTCAGCACAGAGCCCGATGCGGGGCTCGAACTTACGGACTGTGAGATCATGACCTGAGCTGAAGTCGGACGCTTAACCGACTGAGCCACCCAGGCGCCCAAAGTTAATTTACATTTGAGACTGCAGAACCACTCGAGCAAGGAAATTAATGTTCAGTCAAAATAAAATGCCATCCAGCAAAATCAATGCAATTTACTATCGAGTGAGGGGGACTTTAATCAGGGTGCCTCCAGAACAATATTTTTCTTAAACGTGGAAAGAGTGCCTCAAGACTGTTTTCTCCTTTACTGCCCCAAACACAGTATCCATACAATTCTGCAAGCCATTTACCTTGTGAAAAGAAGAATACATTTTTTAAATCTTGGTGTAAAACTGAATTCTTGGGAAGAAATTATGTGCTGGATTTTCTGATAGCTTCCAAATAACTACTACTTTAATGAAATTGCTACCTGAAAATCTGGTAGCAGTATTATTGTTTAACTATAATTTAAGAAGCTATTGTAGATTGGTACTTATGACTTCTAATGAGAAAACCATAACAACCTTTTAATTGAAGGGAAAATGGTTAACTACAGTAATTGCAATCAATAAGACTGCGTTAGTAGCATAAATATTTCTTCTCAAGGAGCATTCCTTACTCTCCTCAGCAGTATTTAAGGCTAGGGAGTGCAAAAAAAAAACAAAAAAAAACCAAAAAACCAAAAAAAAAAAAACCCCAAAAAAAAACCCAAAAAACCACCTCATTAGAAATCCGTCTGTTATTTATAATACTAAGGCTTGGTTCAAATTTTGGGCCCCAGAGTTGAGAGAGAGTCTCCTCCCCCACCTCCACCACAAGCGAAACAAGACTTTGAGAAGAAAAGAGACATGGCAAAAAAGGCTTACCAATCACATAGGCGAGTAACAAAGCCAAAGTCACTGTGATTGCAGTGGCGCTCAAGGCCGTGCACTTCCAGTTGCAGCACCTGTAAGGTTTGTTAAAGGTAAAGGCAGGTCTGGAAAAGGTGCTTCGAGGAAGTGGCCTGGGAGGGGGCGAGTACACGGTATTGGACGTCAGAGGGTAGTTTTGACTGGCTGCACTGAAGATAGCTGAGGAGCCAGATCCATGTTTAAACAGGAAATGCCTGCAAAAAGGAAACAAAAAGTTTGGGCTATAAAACCAAAACCAGTTGTCACAAAGACACCAAGTACACGAATTTCAATCACGCTTTGACAAAGCTCAGGAGAACCTGCAGTGTCCCCATGAAATTGTCATATACCAACAAGTTAACTCCAAACTGCCTTTGGTGGTGTCCTTTTGTTTTCTCCATTTACACTTTTAGGAGGCAGAGAGAGGTCTTCTGTTCCCTGACTTGCTGGCTAGTGAATTTCTCAAACCCTTGAGTGTTAACGTTCCACGTTTGATGTTATTTGCCATACTGCTCCTTTTCATTAACTATGATACTCAAGAGTTGATTCAAAAACAGAAATATCATCTGGCATATTTGAAATCTGACTGTCTTAGAAACCAGTATTTTATTTAGAGATTAGCTTTCACAGACATATTTTCAAGCAATATTCTATTATAAAAGTTGTCAAACATACAGCCAAGTTGAAAAAATTTTATGTAAACACTCATATACTCACCAATTAGATTCTACAGTAGACATATGACTGTACTAATTTTACCACATATTTCCCCATCTCTCTGTTCCTGTCTTCATCCATCAGTCCATCTTAGTTTTTAAGCACTTCAAAGTAAATTGCATACATCAGTATACTTCCCTTCATATATTTCAACTTGCATATTATATGGAGTTCAATATTTTTTACAGATTTTTAAATATAACATTTATACATGATGAGTTGGACTCTTTTAGTTTCCACATATAAGTGGTATCATACCATATTTGTCTTTCTCTGTCTGACTTATCTCACTTAGCATAATGCCCTTGAGGTCCATCCACGAACTCATAAAAACAGAGAACAGAATGGTGGTCACCAGGGCCTGAGAGGTCAGAGAACAGCAGGGATGTTTAAGGGCATAAACTTGCAACTAGTAGATAAATAATTCCTGAAGATATAATGTACAGTAGAGTCATTACAGACGACAATATTGTATTAGAATCATCAACCTTGCTAATAGAGATCTTAATTATCTCCACCACAAAAAAGAAATGATAATGATGTGACGTCATAAAGGTGTTAACTAATGCGACAATGGCAATCATACTGTAGTATAAATGGATCAAATCAACAGGCTGTACACCTTAAACTTACACAATGTTGTATGTAAATAGATTTCAATAAAAAATGATACATGATGAAATGCACAAATTTTAAGTGTACATTTGCTGAGATTTGACAAATGTAATCTCCTTTGCAACATAAACCCTTATCAAGATACAGAACACTCCCCTCACCCCAGGATGTTTCCTCCTGCCTCTCTAAGTAAATCCTTACCCCACTTCCCCCAGACAACCACTACTTAGCATTTTTTCTACATGCATTAGTTTTGCCTGTTCCAGAACTTTGTGCTGCTGTCATGTTTGAATTACTACAGGATGATTATTGACTGCTCATGACTATTGTAATATAGATATTTCATAAACAGTAATGATTTATTGCCATGGAAGGACTTGCCAAAAACAAATACATGGAAGTATGTTTTCGTGCACATATTTTACACGTACTGAGTGCTGTGTGCCATGCATCGTGCTAAATGCTTCTCTCAGTCTTCACTCATAGGAAATAGGCTGCATTATGATCCTCATGGTGCATTTAAGGGCATGGAGGCCAAAAGGGGTTTAAGAAACTTGCTTAGCGGGGCCTGGGTGGCTCAGTCGATTAAGGGGCAGACTTGATTTCAGCTCAGGTCATGGTCTCATGGTCCATGAATTTGAGCCCAGCATGTTCTCCGTGCTGACAGTGTGGAGCCTGCCTGGGACTCTCTATCTCCCTCTGTCTCTGCCCCACCCCTGCTCACTGTCTCTGTCTTTCTCTCAAAAATAAATAAACTTAAAAAAAAAAAACTTGCCTAAATTCACCTAGTACGTGAATGACAGAACCAGAATAGGAGCCCAGGTCACTCTGGCTCCAAAGTCCTTAATCTTAACCTCTCTCCTGTGCCACCAGGGCAGTAAAATGCACTGCTAAGCAAAAGACATTATGGTGCTACATTTTAATGTACTACTACAACACAAACCCCTCCCCAAAATAGAGAGCCAACATCACCTTGTCACATATGACCAAATGCACAGATCATTAAGCCTACATTAAGAATGCTTTCCAATTTCCAGTGTTAAAGGAGAAAAGCATATGTTTAAAAGAGAAAACAACTACCTAACAAGCCAGTTAATGAAAAATCTCCACACTAGAGGATTTTGCTTTAGTATCATGAGGGTAAAGGTTATTTAAAGGGCAGGGTTGCTGAGAATAGAACACATTCACAAGCCTTTCTGGAGGGCGATTTGGGATTATGTGTCAGAAGACTTTAAATATGCATATTCTTTACTGAATAATTATGCCTAGAGGAATTTATCCCTAGGAAATTATGTGTCTGACAATATCTGTAACAAGTTGTTCGTTGCAGTGCTATTTGTAATAGCACAAAATAAACACCTAAGTGCTCAATAATTGGTATTTGCTTAAGTAAGCTATTTTACAAACACATAGTAGAATACTATACAACCATCACAAATTGTGCTGTAAAAGAATATTCACTAGGAAAAGTGTTTACAAATATCACCAAGTGAAGAAAGGCAGCTTCAAAACAGTATGGGCAACAAGATACAATTTTTAAAATAAAAAAAATATATGTTCATGGAAAAATAGTAACTTGGGTTACCTTTGGGATAGGAGTATTTTTTTTTTTAATATATATTCTCTGCCTTGAGCTTACATTGCGTTTGTAACAAGTATCAAGAAGATGGGAGGTGGGGTGAATGGAAAAAATGCACTGCTTAACACCAACCACACCGTAGTCGGTTCTATTTACATAAACGTGATTTGCTGAGCACCTAGGAAGGCTAGACACCGAGGCACCTTATGTGCAATTTTTTGATTCTCATATGCGTATGAGGTTGATACTATTCTAATCTTACAGATGATGAAACACACACCAGAAGAGGTTTAGTAGGAATAAAATGGTGGTGATAATAGTAGTTATCATAATAATGATAATAAGAGGTAACTTCATTAAGTGCTTACTTGTGCCAGGCATTGTTCTAAATACTTTATAAACTATTAGATCATTTATTCTTCCCCAAAACCCCATTAAAGGAAATATCTCCATCTACAGATGAGAAAACCAATGAACAGAGAGGTTCAGTTTTCCCTGGTCCCACAGTCAGTAAATGGTGAAGCTGAGTTTCAAACACAAGCAGGCTGGCCCCAAAGCCATTGCTCTCAACCACTACATGACACTACACTATACTAGGGTTATGCAGTTAGCGGACGTGGTAAGATAAGAACACACACCTGTTCGGACACAGAAGCAGCATGTGGATAATACTGAATTGAGTCACACTTTTACCCTGTTTCTCTTGGGACCAATGACAAGCGTGAAAATGCCGGCTACAGACTCACAGAGATGTAAGGAAACTCAGTAATCTTCTAATAGCCCAAAGCCCTGATTTTGCAGTTAGCAAAACTGAGGCCCAGAAAATGAAATGGATTACCTAAAAGTAACATAGGTAGTTAATGGCATAAATGAGCTTGGAATCGGGGACTTTCAAAAGAGAGTGCTATTTCCAACCCCCTATGCTACCTGCTAACCAGTCTTCACCGGGTTACTACCAGGTTCTAATCTCTTGGGTTAACTGATCCAGGCCAAATACAATGTGCTCCGACAGTACTATGTAATACATGTCTATTTTTCTTTCTTTCTTTTTTTTTTTCAACGTTTATTTATTTTTGGGACAGAGAGAGACAGAGCATGAATGGGGGAGGGGCAGAGAGAGAGGGAGACACAGAATCAGAAACAGGCTCCAGGCTCTGAGCCATCAGCCCAGAGCCCGACGCGGGGCTCGAACTCACAGACGGTGAGATCGTGACCTGGCTGAAGTCGGACGCTTAACCGACTGCGCCACCCAGGCGCCCCACATGTCTATTTTTCTTTATGTCACATGTTCTTACAGTAAATTTTAAAGACCATCTTAACTATTCTGGATGAATAGGGAAGCATTACAAAGAAGCTACCCTTTAGTTGTTAAGAACATAAAGGAGTTATTGCTGCTTCTCAGGGCACCTAATGTATCCCCAGAATGAAGAAACAGTATATAGTAGAAATAAGAATAAATATATTAAAAAAGTGACTCACAGCATTATGCTCCTTCCATTTAATTGTACTTCCTCTTTAATCCCTGAAATGGTCTCCTCCATTTACAAAGAGGTGAATTTCTTCTTTAATGCCTGCTTAGCTCTCCCAGGCTATGTTTTCCCCTTTGGCTATCTAATTTACTAGAGAGCAAGAAGTGTAGCACTTTAGAGACAGCAGAGTGGAGTAACCTCCCCATCTCCTCACCACGACCTGGTAGTTACTCTGGAGGTGACAAAATGTCACTTGGATATAACCAATCCTGCACAGCAACATTCTGGTATGTTCCTATGGGGTAAAAGGGAAGCCCAGCAGTATGGGGTGTTTTCTCCACAGTGATCGGAGATAAAATCTTCGATCCTTTGCATATTTATGAAGGAGAACAATTGGATTTTAGAGACAATGTAAGTGGCCCGTATGTTGGATATTGATTTGGTTTGGTATATCATTAAGGGGGAGAAGAAAGACAAAGAAAGACAGAGAATTGTTGGCTATTATGATGGCAATTACAAGCAATAATCAATATCCCTGAGCACTGTAATTTCATCGTGACATACACCAAAGGATTTACAAATGCAGTTTCATAAGTAAAATATTACAGCATAATGAATAAATTCAGCAGTCACAGCAGAGCAACATTTACACTAATTCGTATTTGAGTGGAATCCAAATCACAGTCCTCAGTGAGGGTAGATAATAAAATGAGTTCATATACTAAGGTTCCTGTTTTCTTATTAACAAGCTGAGATTAAGATTCCATGCTCAAGGAATCTATACTTTGATGTGCATCATGAAAAACAGCACTGCAAATGCTACGCATTGTCCTAG